TATATATAAATGATCCATCTTTAAAAGTATTAGAGAGAGCATTTCCCAAGAGCAAATGCTACCTCTTAGCTTTATTTTTTTTTTACAAAAAAAAAAAGAATTCGAGAGGTGGTGTTTTCTTTAAAAGAAATGCCACTGCTAATGCTAACCTCTTGTAGTGTTTCATTATGTCTAAGATTTTAGATAGCTTTGGGACTTGTAACGTTTTATAAATGTCACCAAGTTAAAATTTTAAATGCTACCAAAACTTTTTTTTTTTTTTTGTATAGTGTTGGAGAAGCACCAAGAGAGCAATTGGATGTATGTTGACACCCTTGGCCTATGTGGCCTCTTTTTTTCGGTTGAAGTAATGAATAAAATTTTAACTTAGGACATCTTTGTTTATTATTAGCATGTAGACTCTTTGATTTAAATTATGTTGCATGTGTTGGCCATGAGATTTATTTTTGCCCCTTGATCGGCCCTCAAGTGCATGAGATTGACATAGTAATAAACCCTAGAGTATTCCAAAAGTAAAACTTAAAAGATGATAGTGATCTTTGTTATTTAAAAAAGCAAATAAGAGTTTTGAAAAAGAGATTTAAATTAAATAATGAAAATAAATAAGAAAACAATAAAAGCGATGGATTATGAAGAAATCAATCAAACTAATGTCAGGGATCATGACTCACCAATCAGGATTGATTATCCTAATTCAGTTAATTATCTTCCACTTTTTTATAACGACAACCATTTTTAAGATGTCATAATTACCTTTCAGTATATTATGATGTATTTAGTTAGAGTCAAATCTAACTCTCACCAAATTCTACTATCTAACTAAACTATGAAACTATGGTCTAAGCCATCACACACTCCTAGATTATTCTTAACTTAGTTATCTGTGCCTATTTCTCTAGGTATATTTAAGTTATTTACCTTTTAGTTCATCAAACTACCATAGACTATATAGTGGCTATACTATATAAATCTATATAAAAAGTAATTAAAACAAGACGGATAAATATAAAAGCAAACTTACATTCTCATATACAAAACAAGAAAAATAAAATAACCAAATAAAAGAGCAAATACATCCTAGTCAGGCCACTCCCTATCCTAACTAGGAATTTAGCAATAACATAGAGTTAAAACTACAATCCCAAATAGAAAATATGAGCAAAATCAAAGAGAAGAAGAAAAGAGAGAAAGCTTCCAATTTGAAAAAATTCCTCCGAACTCCATAATATGCTTCCTAGCCTTCAGATATAAGATTTGATTTGTTGAGAGGCTTTTGGGTGGTTTATTTATAATTAATTCATCCTCCTTGAGCTCAAAATACATCTAGATCACACCTAAATCTTATATAATTCTATAATATATGATATTTGATTCTCATGTTTGTAATCTTTTTTTAATTTAAGTGATTTACTCTTTTTTTCTTGTATAATATAAAAACAAGAAGATATGAGTAGATTTTGTACTAAAAATTATCTTATAATTAAGTGATGAAAGGAATATATATATATATATATATAATTAGTTAAATAGGTATAGAATATCAACAAATATAATCCAAAATATATGCCTATTTATCTGTAAAATATGCCATTTTCACCTCTCATGGTCCAAACGTGTTATTTGGAATTATTTATGTTATTGTATTGGCTATGAGACTTCTATCTATCCTTCATAGTCTTAAAGGATTATTATTTATTCTTGGAGAGATTCAATTATGATTTAAGTTTTGAATTGTTGATTTTAAAGTTTTTTGGAGACTATGCTATGCTATTTTAAATGGTTTATATCCTTTTTGAAGAACTTGTTTAATGAGATCTCATTTTAATACTTTCTATCTATTTAAATTATGTTTTTAAATACCATGATAGATTTCTTTTTTTGGATTTGCGATATTCTTTTATTATCATAGTAGATCATTTTTTATCATGGTAGTTGATATTTATGAAATTTTTTAATTATAAAAAAGTTCTTTTTTATCATAATATATTTTCTATATAACTATTTTGTCCTTAGTTATCATGATAAACTCTTTTCTATCATGATAATGTTTTTAAATTTATGATTCTGTCTTTTCTATTGTGATAAGGTTTTTTATTATCATGGTAGTATTTAAAAAAATATTTCACTCTGTAACACCATGGTAGATATTTTTCTACCATGGTATAATTACTTTTTAAAAATTGAGTTTTTTTAATAATGTATTATGTAAAATAAAATAAATTCAGTATATGAGTAAGGGATATTTCACCTAGTTGGAGTTTTTGACTTTTGTAGGATTTATTTATAAATAAGTTTGCTTCACAAAAATTATGTATAATTTTCCCTAAAAAAAAAAAAGAGGTTAATCGGTGACATTACAGTTTTCATATTCAATTAATTAAACTGGTACTGGAACTGCTGACATAATATATAATTAAATAAAAAATAAAATAAAAAAAAAATATTGACAGCGTCGTTTTCAGTTTATTGCTGTGCAACTACGCCATATATATATATATATATATATATATTGGACGGAACAACTACACCATATTAAGTTTCAATTTTCTTCCTTTTTCTTTTCATATGTTTTTTTTTTTTTTGGTTTACCTCATTTGTCATTTTAAAGCAAATGGATTTTTAACTTTCTTTACACTTTAATTGATACAATGTCAAGTAACAAATGATGCACTCAAAATTTTACTATAAGGATCCAAAAGAAAGTAGTATTTCTAAACTAAATAAAAAATTTTATTACTAAAGAAAGAGTAGAAATTAGGACGGGAAAAATAGGTCCATGCAAAGAAGGTAATAATTATAAGTGTCCAAAACATTCCGATGTGCAAGATTAATTCAAGTCTATCAAACTTGCCCAATTCAAAAAGGGTCCAATATTCAAAATGAGTGATCTATCTCATATTTTACATGTTAAAACACTTGATTTTTGGCATCAAATTGTGTATAATAGGGTTTAATTCCCAGTTTTGAGTTGTCATTTTTAGATTGACTTTATGAACCCTAGTAGTGCTATTTGATGATTGTTTTGACACTTTCATATCCTAATTTGAGATCTTGGGCATTAATTCTCTTCTTTTCCTGTCTATTTCTTTTTGTTTAGAATTTATTTAGTCTTGTGTTTTTATTTTCAGATTTTGTGAGGGCAATTTTGGAATCAAGGATCAAAAGCTAGTCCACATGCTTGGAGAAATTCAAGAGATAGCAAATAAATAAAGATGAAGAATTTAGGGGCTGTTGGGCGCAAATTCCAGAATTATTTGAGGGATGATGTAGCACATTATTCAGATTTAATTAGGGAGAATTAATTAAATAAAAAATCAAAGGAGCATGGAAAGCATTGAGGGACACATTATCAAGTGAAGAAGGGGCATGGGAGGTGTGACATGATCAGATCTAATAGGGGACATGTGGCAGCTTGATTGGGAGCCTAAGGAGGAGTCACATTTCCCACACATGTTCACATGTCCCTTGCCACATTTTCCACCTCATTTTTATTCCATTTTAGCTTATTTTTGTTCATTTTTCCAGCTCATTTCAGATCTGGACCTTCCTTGTTTTTATCACCATCCACTTTGGTTTTATCACCACTCACATTTTCCACACATACATAAGCTGAATTTTAGATGAGAGCCTCATAATTCAGATCCCACTCTCTCACTTCAACACATTTCTCTCTCTTCTTCTTCATTCATTTTCGTCCAGCACTGTTCATCCGTTTTTCAGATTTCATTTCTTCATCTTCCATCATCAACACTTGGTCCAGATCATCATTCCTTCTCTATTCAATTTTTGTCCACTTTCTTCTCCATTCTAGCTTGCATTTTCGTCCATCTCTTGTCCAGATTTCCAGATTGCAACTTCTTCATCTCATTCATCCATGGAAGCTTCTCAAGCTCAAGGTCTAATTCAAGTAAAGAGGAAGAGCATGAGAGGCTGATCATTTAGAGCTCCAAGAAAGATGACTTGACATTATGAGATTTTCAGATTTGTAATTGTTGTTCATTTTCTTGATTTCATGTTCTTGTCTTGATTCTTTAGGATTTCGAATTTTGAACCTGTTTTGGTTGAAGACTTTGTGATTCTAATTCAGATTTGATGAGAATATGAATTTGAATTTAGATTTTCATGCTATTTTCAGTTCTGGAATTTATGATTTACCTTAATGTTCTAGGGTTATTTCATAAGTTCTTGCTGATTCTTGTTCAAGTTCTTGTGTAGACTTGAGTTAGATCCATATTAGTTATATGAATTTGACTTAAGGTGTTTTTCTTCGACTAGTTTTGGTCTGAAACTTGTGTAGAACAAGGCTAAATATAGTGTTAATTTCTAAGTTCACTTGACCTAGATTCATTCGTGTCCATTGAGTCTAATGGTGCACCACACTTAGAGGTTTCTAAGTGTCTCATTTCAAGTTAATCAAGAAGGTTTATGATGTTATAATTCTAAAATTAATGATTAATGTTAGGAAATCTGACTTGGGCTCACCATAATCATCATTCATTTCATTACAACTAAAACAGAATTTTACAAACATTTATTGTTGCATTATAGAGTTAGTTTAGTCACTTGAAAATTCAGATTAATTTGTGACATTTGAACAATGATTTGTATGCTTTGCTCTCTAGGAAAATGACCTAGAATACTCACTTCTACATTCTAGTAAAATTTGATAACTTAAGACGACTAAAGGGTTCATCAATGAGCTAATGAGTCAAATAAGTCATTTTTTGCATTCGGTGACAGTCCAACCATTCTAACCATTTCATTGGCGTGAGTCTTAAAATACTACTTAACATGATAAAGATACATCTTAGAGTGGCATTATTTTTTATTTGTGAAGAAAAGCTCAATTTTATCAATTCATATTGACAGTGATTACACGTCATCATATCGAGGAATATGTCAGTGATATTACAATTACAATATTTGATTTAGACCCTATTTAGTTCAAGGGGAGGGAAAGAATATTTGATTTAAACCCTATTTAATTCAAGGGGAGGGAAGAAGGAGGGAAAAGGAAGTGAGAGGAGGTGAGGGAAGGAGGGGGAGGGGAGAGAAAATTTTAAACCCTTCCCCTTGTTTGGTAAGATGGAGGGGAGGGGAGCTTTTTTAAAATTTTCTCCCTCCTCCCCTCCCCTCCCCTCCAACCAAACACTACTTTAAAAATATTCTATTATATTTTAATCACAATTACAACAATCTAAATCAATAAATAATACAACCCAATATCCTCATCAGAAAATATAAAAGATGTGGCCAATTGATATGAAAAATCTGCATTTTTGATCCAAAAAAAAATAGAATTTCTCTCACTTTTCTATCACATTTTTCACTTCCCCACACTTTTCTCCCCAGCCAATCACCTGACAAGAGAAGCGTGAAAAAAATCAGTATGTGAGAACAAGTAGCAGGAAACGATGTGCTTAGTTTCTCCCCAAGGTTGTGTTTTGGCATCAGACATTTCCATCGTAGGATTAGGGTCCGTAAAGCTGATATTTTTTCTATTATTTTCATTCTTGTTTGTATGAACTGCACAATAAACGTTCTCATCATCACTGTTCGAGCCGTCCTTGATGGAAATTTCCACTCGCTTCCAGTTATTTGGCAGGGGGAGTTTAGTGTTGGGAATCATGCTCTGTAAATCACAAACATACAAATGATTTGGTTTCATCTCTGATAGCGGCAAGCACGCTGAAGAAATCCCCATCACTATGCCATCCACAAATAGCGAGAATGTATAGTTGCCGACGGAATTCCTGTCATCTCTAATAAGAAAGCACAGACAAATCAGTGGGAACTCTTCACGAACCCAAAAGGATGGAGAACATCCTCGGCTATACTTGTGGAACCATTCTGGGATCGTCTTTCCAGGCAAAATAAAGTTTTTCCTTCCAGGTTGTTGAGAGAAAACCTGTGAAATACAAATTATAACAAATGGAGCTTATATGTAATATATGGAGAGAGAGAGAGAGAGAGAGAGTTAAAGAAAGAAAGAGATACCTGTTTCAATACTAGGCTTCTGGACAATTGGCTTAATGATGGGCAACATGTAGCACTAAATTTTTCTAGATTTGGTGGCACCCCATCAATATACTTAAGCAGCTTGCAATTATCCAACAAAAGACAATTCAAATAGTGACAATCTTCTATGCATGCTGGAAGGGTTGTGAAATTATTGAAACTTAGATCTAAATGTATTAAATTAGGCAAGTAAGAAAGGCCAAAAGCAAGAAAACCATTTGATAAATTGCAATTTGAGAACCAAACATGTGTCAATGACAATCCTCTGGGGTTTGAGATTCTTTGTTCTCCACCTTGGCCCATCTCAAAATTGTTCATCATAACACAGAAATTTGCTCTTAATTCGCAAAGGTTTGGCAGCATACAAATATCAACGGGAAGCCTCTTTAGATGATGACACTCCTCCATGTTCAAGATTTCAAGCCCAACAAGATTGCAAATTGATGATGGCAATTCTTGTACAGCTGTTCTGCCTAATTCAAGTACTTTCATCTTTTCCATTTTGTCTAGTATTTGTGGAAAACTTTGAAGGCTGGAACAGCCAAAAAAGTTGAGACATTCAAGAGATGTCAATGTGAAGCTAGATGGCAAAATCCTCAAGCTCTTGCATTTCATCGCACTCAATTCTCTCAAATTATTCAAAAATCCAACCGACTCATGAATTTGGATTAAATTTGTGCAACCATCAAGCCACAATTCTCTTAAATTAGAAGCTCCTGACAGATCCGGTATCTGCCTTAGAAATTTACAATTTTTAAAATCCATGCAGCTTAAGCTCTCGAACATCTATAAAACAATTATGTAAATTTAATTTAAAACTTGACAAGAAAATTGAAAAAAAAAAAGTAATTTTGAAAATACTTACGTACTTGACTACATACCTTAACAAATGGCAGCAAGTGACAATAACTATCAGACAAGTTGATATAGACAAGTTTTGTTGGATGAAAATCGGATGGTAAAAATTTGAAAGGATACCCTTTCCAGACCAGCACCCTTAAACTATTTGGAAGATATTTGGGACGTTGAGAAAAGCATGCATTTTTTACCACAAGAACCTTAAGGTTCTTCATCTTCATGAATCCCTTTCCATTCCATCGTACTTCCTTATCTTGGGGTAAGTCTAGTATCATGACTTGAATTTTCTTCGTTCCCTTTGAGAATAAAAAGTACACAATAAAAATTTAGATGCATAGAAGTAACAGGGCAAGTTTTAAAGGGAGGGAAATATAAACATGTATATTGTCCTTACCATGTTTTCTTGTAAGATATGAAGAATGTCCTTGAAGCACCATAGCCTACTACGCTCACCTGGCTCATTTGGTGATTGTCGTCGAACAATTTCTTTACCCATATCTTCAATCAAGTCATGCATCGTGAGACGATTCTCTCGAATGTTCACTAAAGATTTGTCAACAAGCACTCCAATAGCATATTCTGGTGGGATTTCATGCAGACTTTGCAACATACCCTTAACCTCTTCTAATTTCTCACCTTTGAGAAAACAAGCTAAATCAAGGAAAATTTCCTTCTCCTTTTCCTCTAGACCATCAAAGCTTAATTTGAGGACCTCAAAAATTTCACTATTGGGTATTGTTTCATATTGATCTAATCCAGAATTCCACTCATTGATACTTTTACCACACAAGTTAGAACCAATCACTTCCAAAACTAATGGAAGGCCACAAGAGTAAAGCACTGCCCGATTTAAAACATCTACGTACTCAGAATTCAGATTTCTCTTTTTAAAGGCATTCCAGCTAATTAACTGAAGAGATTCCTCATAACTTAACTCCTTTACATTATAAATTCTTTCAACCCCATGACCAGCTAACAATTGTTTATTCCTTGTCGTAATGATAATCCTACTTCCACGGCCAAACCAATCACATGTTCCAGCCAGTGCTCGTAACTGTTCCAATTTATCAACATCATCAAGGATTAAAAGAATCTTCTTTCGTTGGAGCCTGTGTTTTATTATTGAAATCCCTCTGTGGAGATCACCCAATCTGAGTTTTTTCTCCTTGATTATTTCGTAAAGTAATTTCCCTTGGAGATGAGACAAGCCTTGCTTACTAGAGAGTTCTCTAACATTAGAAAGAAAACATAAATCTTCAAAATGATCAGCCACAGAGTTACACACACCTCTTGCAATTGTTGATTTACCTATTCCACCAATTCCACCAATTCCTACCATTTTGACTTCCTCGTCAGACCAAATATCTAGAAGTGAGATAACTTCTCGTACTCGAGACTCGAGTCCAATTGAATAATCAGTAACATGCAAAGGTATACGATTAATCCTTGCAGAAACTTCACTTGTGATCCTTTTAATATACTCTTGTTCTTTTGCAATCCTGTCAATTTATAAGAAGTTTACTGTTATTCAAATTAAAATTACAATTCGCTAGTTTTGAAATAAAACTATGTTGTCTTCCTTAATTATTCCTCACAATAATAAATAATTTCAAAACTTATTATGCTTTTTTTAGTTATTTCATTAAGGGCATTTCAGTCTTTTAACCCTAAGATATTGATACCGAAGGACCTTTCGCTTGCATAAGTTTGAGGACCTTTTGGGCAATTGCTGGTAACTGGTAAGATGTTTTCAGGCAATTTTCCTTGAATATAAATATAAAAACAAAAATCCAAGTAATAAAAAGGAAAATTATATTTCTACCAAAAAAAAAAAAAGGAAAATTATAGGCAGAAGCACGAGGATTTACCCAGGTTTGAGATGCCAACCAGACAAGTTAGCTGCTTCAGACAAAGCCAACCTCCACTTTTGCAGCTTCTGCTCTGTGTTTTCCAATCTTTTCTGCAAGTGAGCCAGTGCTTCTCCATAGCTCCCTGCTTGATGCCTCACTTCTGAAGGATCCACGTAATAAAACACCGGATACACCAACCGACCTTCTTCTTTGAAGCAATCCATAATCTCGGCAAGTTCGTCCAGACAGAACGTCGAGGATGCATAGTTTTCGGAGAAGACTATGATAGCAATCCTGGATTCTTGTATGGCTCTCAAAAGAGAGGGTTTGATTTCTTCCCCTGCCCAAAGGGATTCATCATCGATGAAGGAATGGATTCCACTTTGACGGAGAGAATCGTATAGATGGCCGATGAAATTCAAGCGAGTATCCTCACCTCGAAAGCTAAGGAACACGTCGTACGTCCATTTGTAGGCGAGAGAAGAGGACGCAGCTTGCTGAGCCATCTGGAAATGACTGAGACTCTGAGGGCTTGAGAACAGCAAAACTGAGCAAGAAGAAATATCATTCGAGGGACAGGGAAGACTGAGAAGTTCGCTGGCTATCTGCCGAAATAATGGAAGGTCATGCCAACAGGCTTCCACGGAGCATCGTCATATTTTCCTTTTATTTAGGCTTCGTACTTCGTAGGGGGGAAGAAACAGAAGGGAAAGTACAGGACTGTGCAAAGCTAGACAAAAGGAAAACGAGTGGGAACAATGATTAAAGTAACAAAATGCTAAACTTGTAATACATTTTAAAAAAATTACCAAGAAACAACGAATCGAAAATGGGTGTGGTATTCAGTCAAAAACAAAAACAAAAGTGCTACTACTTTTTTTTGGCTAATAAAAATAATTTAATAAAGATTAATATGAATTTTATTGTTATTCTAAAAGTGCTACTTATTTTAAGCAATAATTAAGGAAGAATAAAATAATTAATCCCTATCGTTTTATTGTGTATTATTCTTGGTCATTATACGTTGTTTCCAATGCTCCAGGTCTTCATAGTTTTTCTCATTTACAATGTTAATCCTTTTATTTTATGTTCTTCCTTCCTTTCCTCTTTTTTATTATGATATGGGTTCAAACACTTTGTATAAATTAACATTAATTTTTTTCTCTTTTGTGATTAATGATATAAATGTATATATTTTTTTCTCCTCTTAATGTATATAAGTGTTTTGACTGCCATAGGTGATGCTCAATAGGGTTAGTTTGAGTGTAGCGTTTAAATAAAATAGTGCAAAAACTAAAGGTTTTGTTAATAAGATAAGGATACACTTAGTAATCTTAAAATTAAATTTTAGTAATTGTAATGAGATATTGAACAGCTAATTTAATTAAACACTTGTTATTAACTTAAAAGAATTTGTTTAAGTATTTTTTTAGAACCCTGAATTAATACTTATTTTTATTAAAAACATTTATGAACTAGTGTAATTTTAAAACTACGAAGTGCAAGTGAAATAAATAATCTTAGATCTCAATTTTAACTAAAACTTTAAGAATAATTTACTTTTTTATTTTTTAGTTTTAATATAATTTGCAAAAATCAACTTTAATTTGTTCAATTAATTATGTTTTGCTTAACTTAATGAGATTGCAAAATCTTTTACTTAATCACAATTTTAATACAAATCTTTGGAAAAATGATTTTTACTTATTTTGTATTACTTGTAATGACCGGACCCATGTGCACTTGTGGATTGTTTCTTCCTGTTGAAATAATCTTTGTATCTTCAATCATAGGAATCAAGACCCACATAACCTGATGGCTGAAACAGTTGTGGCGGTTACTTCTCAGCTCATACATAACATTTCAATACGCAATTCTGATATGAGAATATTCATATAAAAATAAAGAGAATAATATTATATATAAAAATTTGCAACGTAAAAAAAAATCAAAACTCGTGCAACATGTAGAGGTTAAAAGTCGTATTTTTTTATTTTTAAAAAATTTGTTATATTATCTTTTTTTTCCTTTCTAAATTTTAATTTCCTCACCCGGCTCTAAGTGGATAACCACAACTTCTAACAAACTCTTATTTTAATTAAAGGATCAAAAAAAAATTGCATATAGTATCACCATCACACACATATATATATACACATAAAAAAGGGGAAAAAGTAAATAAAAAAGAAAAAGAAGGGAGAATTACATTGAAATTTCACACAAAAAAATTAATTATTATAAGGTACATTAATAATTGAATTAAATTGTATTGACAACACAATTGGTTGTCAATAGTTTAGTTTAATTATTAATAGACTTATAATAATTAATTTTTCTACATGAATTTGGTTGTAATTCTCCAAAAAAAAAATATAAAAAGAAACAGTTGATCAAAAGTCAAGTGTAAACCATAATCTTAAAAATTTTCATTGAGGAGAACTAGCTGACAATCAAAATCTATATTGATAATAGGATAGACGTTGGTAATTGTCGTGCAACTAGGATAACATCGAGTTAAAACAAGCAATAATGATAGAGCAAAGCCAGATCCTCTCATTTGTTACGAAGTTGCAGATTCAATGGAGGACAAAATAAAGGCATTCATTTCCAACAAACTCCTTGGTAATCCCTTAATTGCAAATGACATTCAATAAATAAATAGGAAGGTAGGAAATGTGAATAACCAGAGAAATTAACATGGAGAAAAGGAATTGATTATAAACTATCTTACGGGATTCCATCTATATTTGGACTGTCTATTTCAATACTATGAAGTAATGAAGCATTGTTCAAAGTTTGTCCTTATTTTGATTTTGATTGTCCCATATATACGTGTATTTATGATCTTTATTTATACATTGTAGAGCACAATGTCAAAGTACTGTAGAGTGTTTTGAACAATATGCTTTACTTTTTTTGTTTTTTTTAAATAGTTACTGGTCATTCTAAAAATAGTTAATTGTCCCATATTCATTTTTTTAAAATATATATAGATGTGGTTCCCATGGTAAAAATAGTGGGTATGGGACCTACTATTAAATAAAAATATACACTAAAGGTTATAAATGCTCCTAAATCCAATCATAGATAAATTCTATACTTTAACTTTAAAGATTCTCTTCCTTGTCATTCTGTCATTTTTTCTCTATTAGTTGACTATTTGTGAGCCTTATATTATATTTTTTTAATATTTTTATTATAAAATATTCAAGTTGAAAGGCAAAAATGGCCCTTAACCTAATAAAAAATATTAAAAAATAGTGAACCCATTGATAACTAACGGATGTTAAGTGTTTTTAATATTACGGTAATGATGGAAGAAATCTTTAAAGTTGAGGGACAGAATTGACCCATAGTTAGTTTATAGGCATTTGTGACATTTCATGTACAATTCAAAAACAAAAATAACTCCTAACCGTTTAATTAATAAAATTTATTTACATAGAGTGTAAAACTGTTGTTATATAAATTATCATTTGTAAATATTAAAAATTTAGACAAAAATATTTGCACTTTGAAAGATCATAAATACTTCAAAGTAAAAATTGTTAGTAAATAAAATTAATTTACTCAAAATAATAAATTCTAAGTACAATTTTAAAGCATATTGATATTTTTTAATATGTACAATGATAGCTTGATAGCACATTGTAAAATAAAAATTGTTCATTAAATTTTAATTTGCATGGAGCAACACTTTTGAAAATAAAATTAATTTTCTCTTATAATTTATTTGTTTACCATCTCATTTCCTAATTTTTACCAAAAAAGAAACTTTAAACAATTATGCATGACAGCATTTAAATAAATAATTCAAAATTATTTTATTAATATTATAAAACTTAAATAAAAATAAAAATAAATTATATTAACTAATCTATCTTTTATTATATTAAATTCTGATTTCATTAAGTTTTTTTACATGTATGTGTTTGAAATAACATTTTAGCAAATTTATGTATTTATTTTTTAAAAAAATAGTAAATAAATAAGTTTGCATAACTAATAATTTTAAAATATGAATGAAATTTAAAAAATATATTAAGAACGATATTTTTGTCTAACATATAACTTAGCTATAAATGAATATTTGGATGAATGGAAATAAAAATTTAAAAATAGAAAAACTGTTTGTATTTTGTAACTCTTGATTTGTGAAAATTTTAATAGTGATCCGTATATATTTTAAAAATAAGAAAGATATATTCATAATTAAGATAAAATAGGGCGGTGAGGCATATATTTTATTTTAAGTACATTAAATAATTTTTAATATTTATATTTATTTTTATCTTTGTAATATTAAAACATTCTTGTGCATCGGCATAAATCTAGTTTAAATTCATACTTCATGGTGTCTATTTAAATATTAAGCACCAGTTGAAACTATAATCTTACTGGGTCCGATCCTTAAATTTAATTTCATTATTTTATGGTTTTGGGTTGTGATTTATCAGCCTTACCAACTACTCCCACTATTTAAAAATATAAGATATTTTTTAAGAAGTTGAAATATTTAAAAATATAAGGCATTTTTAGTCTTTTAAAATGTAATCATTATCTTTTTTCTAAAAGTACTCCTATTGATAATAAATTTATATTTATTATAGGATATTTAATAGAGATAAATATAAAAAGATAGAATTAATTTAAAAGTAAATAATTATTTTATTTAGATGAAATTCGTTTTAAAATATTAGTACTAATTTGTAATTTTATCAAGAAAGAAAGGAAGAGGAAGATGGTGACGTAGAAATATGGAACGTAAAACGCGGAAAAAACATCACTGACACTAAGCGACATTGACTTTGACTTCGGGTTTGGCGTTTTAGTCTTTTGCGTGCGTTTCCTGTACCACAAATACCATTTCCCATTATTTGTAAGAATGGGGGAAAAAATTGTTCCCTTAACGTTTTCGGAGAACAATAGCTAACTATAATCCAGAGTTAATTAATCTTATGAAGTCCTATCCAGTGTTTTGAAACTCGGATTGCATGTCGAACTGAAAAGTGCAACGAGTCATAGTTTTTATGGTTTAACTGATTAAACTAATGATCAAATCAGTAACATAAAAAATAATATTTATATTTATAAATATATAAATAAAACATTAATTTGTTTATGGTGCTTGGAATTTTGACGCTGAAGCTAAATGCCTGGATCACTAAAGCTAGAGACAGAGGCATGTCTATCGGCACAAGCTCGTGATCCAAAGGAAAATGTTGGAGCTAGAGGCACGCTGTCATGTCATGACTCACAAGCAATTGATCTCATTGCCAAAGGCTGGATCACTAAAATTGGAGGCAGAGGTTAAAGGAGAAATCAGAGATTAAACTTGGGCCGTTAATGAGAGATTATATATTAGAGAAAAGAAGACAGAAGATAAATAAAAATTAGAAAAGAGAAATCAAAATCTGAGAGACTTAGCCTTTTTTTTTTTACTTTGAACCGAGTTGACCCGTTCCGGTTTTGGGTCAAAGCAAGTTCTCTTAAATCGAACGGGTCAATTCAAGTCAACTTAGTTCAAATGTCAGATTGATTCAACTGGTTGGATCAAATCGTTTTGTTCAGTAGGTGATAGTTGGATCAATCAAACCATCCAGTCCAGTCCGGTTTCACATCACTAGTCCTATCCTCTAATAGTTTTTTCTTTTAATTCTTTTTACATTTTTAAAATGAGAATATTATTTATGTCCACTTTTA